CCTTTTGCACCTTGAAAAACTTTCAATATATATAAATTATGTTAGAATAGATTAAATTAATATGTAAAAAATTAAATACTTGGGAAAATTAAAAACAGTCGCATAAACAAATGACCAAAATAGCCAAAATTAGGCCTATTTGACTTCTACTTGCCCATTTTCTACATTTTTAAACAAATGACCAAGTTATTTCTCATAACATGTCAATTATACTTAGTTATAGGTGGCTAAGCCGTGAAATCATAGGAAAAGGGCATTTTACTAAGTTTAAGGTCGCATTTTCATCCAATATAGCCAAAATAAGGCCTATTTGGCTTCTACTTGCCCATTTTCTACATTTTTCAACAAATGACCAAGTTCTTCCTCATAACATGTCAATTATACTTAGATATAAGTGGCTAAGCCTTGAAATCACATAATAAGGGCATTTTACTAAGTTTAAGGTCTCATTTTCATCCAAAATAGCCAATATAAGGCCTATTTGACTTCTACTTGCCCATTTTCTACAATTTTCAACAAATGACCATGTTTTTCCTCATAACAGGTCAATTATACTTAGTTATAAGTGGCTAAGCCTTGAAATCAAAGAAAAAGGGCATTTTACTAAGTTTAAGGTTGCATTTTCATCCAAAATAGCCAAAATAAGGCCAATTTGACTTAAACCGGTGGCAATAGTGTTCATGGCCACCGGTTATCCTGTGGTAATACTACTTATGGCCACCGGTTAACCGGTGGCAATAATAAATTGGCGCGGTTTTTTTGCTGCTGAAGGCTGACTATTGCCACCGGTTCGAACCAGTAAACCGGTGGCAATAAAACGATATAATTTTTTTTTGGCCTGCAATTATTCCTGCAACTGATCCTGCTATAATATTCTGCCATTTTATTGCTAAAAATTCTGCCATAATATAATTATTATTAATAATCATAACAAGAATTAAAAATATATTTTTAGACTACTTTTATAATAAAAAACCAAATGCAATACAACAAATTAAATAAAGTGTGATATATAAATAAATACAAACAATACTAATAACTAGTCAATATTGTAGTTTAAAAGTTAATAATAAACAAAGTATAATTCATAATGATGCCACATTTACAAATTGAAGCTGATGAAAGATGCCAACATGTCTCGAACTTCATTAAGCTCCTTGCTAGTTAACGGATCCCCCTTTTGCACCTTGAAAAACTTTCAATATATATAAATTATGTTAGAATAGATTAAATTAATATGTAAAAAATTAAATACTTGGGAAAATTAAAAACAGTCGCATAAACAAATGACCAAAATAGCCAAAATTAGGCCTATTTGACTTCTACTTGCCCATTTTCTACATTTTTAAACAAATGACCAAGTTATTTCTCATAACATGTCAATTATACTTAGTTATAGGTGGCTAAGCCGTGAAATCATAGGAAAAGGGCATTTTACTAAGTTTAAGGTCGCATTTTCATCCAATATAGCCAAAATAAGGCCTATTTGGCTTCTACTTGCCCATTTTCTACATTTTTCAACAAATGACCAAGTTCTTCCTCATAACATGTCAATTATACTTAGATATAAGTGGCTAAGCCTTGAAATCACATAATAAGGGCATTTTACTAAGTTTAAGGTCTCATTTTCATCCAAAATAGCCAATATAAGGCCTATTTGACTTCTACTTGCCCATTTTCTACAATTTTCAACAAATGACCATGTTTTTCCTCATAACAGGTCAATTATACTTAGTTATAAGTGGCTAAGCCTTGAAATCAAAGAAAAAGGGCATTTTACTAAGTTTAAGGTTGCATTTTCATCCAAAATAGCCAAAATAAGGCCAATTTGACTTAAACCGGTGGCAATAGTGTTCATGGCCACCGGTTATCCTGTGGTAATACTACTTATGGCCACCGGTTAACCGGTGGCAATAATAAATTGGCGCGGTTTTTTTGCTGCTGAAGGCTGACTATTGCCACCGGTTCGAACCAGTAAACCGGTGGCAATAAAACGATATAATTTTTTTTTGGCCTGCAATTATTCCTGCAACTGATCCTGCTATAATATTCTGCCATTTTATTGCTAAAAATTCTGCCATAATATAATTATTATTAATAATCATAACAAGAATTAAAAATATATTTTTAGACTACTTTTATAATAAAAAACCAAATGCAATACAACAAATTAAATAAAGTGTGATATATAAATAAATAAAAACAATACTAATAACTAGTCAATATTGTAGTTTAAAAGTTAATAATAAACAAAGTATAATTCATAATGATGCCACATTTACAAATTGAAGCTGATGAAAGATGCCAACATGTCTCGAACTTCATTAAGCTCCTTGCTAGTTAACGGATCCCCCTTTTGCACCTTGAAAAACTTTCAATATATATAAATTATGTTAGAATAGATTAAATTAATATGTAAAAAATTAAATACTTGGGAAAATTAAAAACAGTCGCATAAACAAATGACCAAAATAGCCAAAATTAGGCCTATTTGACTTCTACTTGCCCATTTTCTACATTTTTAAACAAATGACCAAGTTATTTCTCATAACATGTCAATTATACTTAGTTATAGGTGGCTAAGCCGTGAAATCATAGGAAAAGGGCATTTTACTAAGTTTAAGGTCGCATTTTCATCCAATATAGCCAAAATAAGGCCTATTTGGCTTCTACTTGCCCATTTTCTACATTTTTCAACAAATGACCAAGTTCTTCCTCATAACATGTCAATTATACTTAGCTATAAGTGGCTAAGCCTTGAAATCACATAATAAGGGCATTTTACTAAGTTTAAGGTCGCATTTTCATCCAAAATAGCCAATATAAGGCCTATTTGACTTCTACTTGCCCATTTTCTACAATTTTCAACAAATGACCATGTTTTTCCTCATAACAGGTCAATTATACTTAGTTATAAGTGGCTAAGCCTTGAAATCAAAGAAAAAGGGCATTTTACTAAGTTTAAGGTTGCATTTTCATCCAAAATAGCCAAAATAAGGCCAATTTGACTTCTACTTGCCCATTTTCTACATTTTTAAACAAATGACCAAGTTGTTTGTCATAGCATGTCAATTATACTTAGTTATAGGTGGCTAAGACTTGAAATCAAAGAAAAAGGGCATTTCACTAAGTTTAAGGTCTCTTTTTCATTCAAAATAGCTAAAATAAGGCCTATTTGACTTCTACTTGCCCATTTTCTACAATCTTCAACAAATGACCAAGTTCTTCCTCATAACATGTCAATTATACTTATTTATAAGTGGATAAGCCTTGAAATCACATAATAAGGGCATTTTACTAAGTTTAAGGTCGCATTTTCATCCAAAATAGCCAAAATAAGGCCTATTTGACTTCTACTTGCCCATTTTCTACATTTTTTAACAAATGAACAAGTTGTTTCTCTTAACATGTCAATTATACTTAGTTATAGGTGGCTAAGCCTTGAAATCAAAGAAAAGGGCATTTTACTAAGTTTAAGGTCGCATTTTCATCCAAAATAGCCAAAATAAGGCCTATTTGACTTCTTCTTGCTCATTTTCTACATTTTTCAACAAATGACCAAGTTCTTCCTCATAACATGTCAATTATACTTAGTTATAAGTGGCTAAGCTTTGAAATCACAGAATAAGGGCATTTTACTAAGTTCAAGGTCGTACCTCATCAAGATGTATGGTGTTGGAACAATGAGTCGCTATCTCAAGCATGAATCTCATCACGTATAATCCACAATCAACTCCATTATCTTGTTGTTGGCACTAGCATAGGAACAAATTAAATGAATCAAACGTCACATAAAACCCACAATTGTTTTAGCAATGTTTATTAAGATAATCACAATATGATGTGGCATTACCATAGGTGATTTCCATGTAGGACCCGGTGGAGCACGACCATGTATCTTCTTCAGAATACTATAGGAAAGTAAAATCAAATTTGATTAGTTTGACTACTAAATAAGTTAGGTTAAGATACTCTACACTAGGTAGCTATATTTACTTTTGTAGTACAGACATCACGAGGTACTTCTTTGTTGATCGAGCTGAATCAAGGTGAAAGATTGTGTTATTAGCAGGACAAATCACCATGAGGAACCAATGGTACCTACAAAAATTCACAATACACAAACTCATCAATAATTAGGGTACAACAAATAATTCAAATGTAGAAAGAATTGAATTACACATGCTTAAACGTACTCCTCATAACATGGGGCGAATATGAACTTGTCTCCCGCACGCATTGATTCCCGAATATTATGGTTAACATAATACATCACCTCGGGGGAGTTGTGTAAGATTCTAGTCTCGGATGTCTGTTCGGGGCATAACCACCCAACTTTACTAGGGGAATCAGTGTCACTTAAGTGCTCCTGTAGTGCTCTACGTGCATGTGCAATGAAAAATTAATTGTCATATATGAAGGATAAACAACACTAATATATACAACAAATTAATTTAAGTGGAATGAGCCCGTACCTCATGAATATTTGAATGAGAGAAATGTTAAGCATTGAACCGCTTAAAAATTCCTTCACATATTGTTTGTTTAACCATGCACTTGCATCCACATCATAATGGAACATTGCCTTAGGAAGTGCAATTTCAATGGGATCGTCACTAGGCAAATGACTAAAACGATTGTGTAGAAAAGTTAAATCCTTAGTGAGCGATTAAAGGACATTGTCTCCAACAAGTGGTGTAGGTTGCATGGCTGAACCTTTCGAAGAATTCTTCTTCGACACTTGTTCACTCTTCGACCCCTGTTCACTCATCTTCTTTATAGGTTGATCAACGCTTTTAGGCTTCACCACCTTCCTTCTCTTTGATGGTTGACTTTTTTTCGAAATCTGATCAAAACAAAGATAATTAGAGTTCAAAAATTTTTGGCCGGGGTTTAAGCTAATAAGTACGCATCAAGATTTGTTATTTTTCACATCAAAATAAATATTACCTCGTTGATCAACCTCACCCAAGCACGTGACCATTGCACATAGCTACCCTTTTCTTCCCAAAGAAGAGTAATCCCATCATCCACTATAGGCACCGGTAGTGGGATGTTTTCAAACCCAGCAATGTAAGAATTGATCCTGACCGAGTAATGTTGTGGCCTAAGCGATTGGAAATGGACCGTATCACCAGCCGTTGCTTGTGCACTACCATACGCCACCAACTGCAACTCTCCTCCATTTGATAGCCCCGGGGCTAGAAGTGTACACTCGGTCTCTACCTACACCAGTAACGAAATTCACTTGTAAAAACTGAAATTATAAAAAAGGGTCTTTTCCTACACAATTGATCATGTAACAAAATTCACTATGTTAAAACCAAACACGCTCCCTCGAATCCTAAATTCACCTCTAAATCTGGAAATTCATGGGGTGTTGGATTATCAACCTCCCTCGAGTCTGCATGTGTGGGAGTAACAACCTGCAATAATTAATCAATAATGCCACATTAGATCTCACGTAACTCACAAGCTAGGACAAAACTAATATATAGAAAACTACCTCATGTATCTCCTCTTCTCCTTGTCCTTTTGGGTGACTACTGGAGTCGACCGGTGTAGTTGAGGGGAACGACAAGGGTAAGTTCATTTGCTTCGCCCAAGCATTGAATTCACCCATCAAGATCCTCACTATACTCTCCACTTTCACCATGCCAAATCCACACATGGTATTTAAGTCTAAACCCACGACAAAGTACATGATCTCTAATGAATTAAACACTATTAACCACCTTCACATTATTACAATCAATACAAGGACAGTATAGGCCTTCCTCACCAATTTTGCGTTGATAAGATAAAGTCGTCTCGCAAAACTCTTGAACCCCATTCCAAAAATCCATTGTATCACGTCTACCATACATCCAACCACGATCCTTTCCCATTTAGTAAAGTGTCTCTAAACATATATAACAACATATTATCAATAATGTACAATTGCTACATATCTTATGTAAATCAACTTCTAGTACACATCGTGAATATACCATTCATATAGTGAACAAATGCATGTTTCTAAAGTGTCCTTATCACTCCAACCTAACCCATCCTTGAATGTCTACTCTCACTAGTGAATGTATGTCAACTTTCCAATTTTTAGGAAAATCCGGCATCACTTCCCCCCAAATACAAGATGTAGATAATTACTTACCCACATATGTACCCAGAGAACATGGAGAAGAAATGAACAGCCAAGATGTTCCTTAAAATCGAAAAAAAGACATACATTCACCACCTAAGTGAGAGTAAACATTCAAGAACAGTCCCAACCCGGGACTATTCAAGACTTTCTCCTAATGAGAAAGCCTTGAACGGGTATCTAGGCATATGATGATGCAAACATTCAACATATTATTGTAATTATTTATTATTAAACAAGACACAACTTGTAATATCATGAACAAACTTTTATCAAATAGATAAATAGAAAGAAATATATATAGCTCCATAAAGTTTATAGTTCATACCAATATAGCAAGTATAATGGATGTAATGTCTCGAACTTCCCACTTGAATAACTAATAAACTTGTGCTTCACTACATATGAATCTACAAAAATAAAAAAATACAACAACAAAATAAAAGTTAGTAATTTTGTCAAGAACTATATACAAAACAACCTAAAATTACACATTAAAACATACTACCAAAATTCAACTAATTAAGTAACAAGGTTACTAATAATTATTAATTTAATAAAAATTACCCATTAAAACTTATGAAAATTCAAATAAGTTTTCTCCTAATCTCTACCTAATAATAAAACAACCTAAATTGCTCAAAATTTCTTAATAAAACAACCTAAAATTCAGAAAAATTAGGGTAAATGTTTTTCACTATAAGAATCGAGTAGAGGCCAATACGGGCAAATGTGACTCCATGACTCACTTCGTACCATCATCCCCAATCCTCCTTTCGTGGTTCCGAACCATATAGAGTTAGTAATCTCATGGATTATGAATGGGGTGTAACCTTCACGTGTCAATCGTTGTTGCCTATCGTTGTCCCTTATCGTGGTTGCCTTTTTATGATCCATGAACGTCTTACAAGTTCCTTAAAAACTTGTTGGCGGCTCCCTAATTTCCTTGTCCCTAATCGTATACATCAATTCCCACTTCCTAAGAGTGCCAAGAATATTCACACATGCTTTAACGTAGGCGCATTTCGAGCGACGCCTACAATTTGGCGACTCCACTAGGGAAGATTCTTGGTTATTTATCGATTTGAGTGATCGATATTTAATTAAGATGGGTGGATGAGACTTGAAAGATTCTTGAAAAATATTCCTGTGATTAATTTGGCATTTTTGCATATGCATAGACATTTTAACGTCGCATTTAGGTCTGTCCCGTAGGAGAAATTGAATAACTTGATTGCGTACGAAGGAAAACAAGGCACCAATCAGATATTCTGACTGCCGTGCCACAGCAGAATCTGCCGTGTCACAGTACAGTGCACTGTCTGACGGTGTGCAGTACCGTGGCACGGGAACTTTCACTATGTCACGGCAGACCTAAAATCCGTCCAATGGCTTGTTTTATCTTCTCATAGTCAACTTCCTTCGAATTTTCTGAAAAAACGTGTATGTTCTACATACGTCTTAGCCCCGGGGGAATTAAGCTCTATCAACCCGAAAACGCTCATGGCAATAAGGGTTCATCCGAGTTATTAAATCCATCCAAACCATGGAGTCGAGTTCGATTTCATCACAAACTCGCGCAGCCGCCCGTTGGCATACACCCTCAAGGGAGGCTGCCTTGCTAACGCATCCAAACTCTTAACCATGGTACCCTATTGACACCAAATAAACTTGACCATAGTCGAACATAGAACTTGACCTTAGGTTGCAAACTATTCTTTGCATCATTGTGCCTACGTGTTTTATGTTTGGTCGTTTTGATCCTAACTTTAACGATTTTTCTTTGTCTATGGTGGATTATTTTATGACTAACGATTGCCAATGGACCGTACTCACTTAGTAATCAGCAAAAAAAAAAAAAGGGGGGGGGGGGGGAAGGGTTGCCGCGACACGAGACTGTCCACCGTGTCACGACAAAGTCAACCACGGCGCGGTGGACCTTCAACAAAAAAAATAACAAATTCTTCCGCGCACGGGAAACTCTACCGTGTCACGGCAAATTTCCACTGTGACACGGTGGATTTCTAAAAAAAAAAGAAAAAAAGAAAAACAGTCTGCCGCGCCACGGGAAACTCTACCATGTCACGGCAATTTCCACCGTGGCACGGTGGATTTCAAAAAAAAAAAAACAACAAAAAAAAAAATGTGCCACGTCAGTATCCACCTTGGCACTGGAAAGTTTACCGTGCCACGGGAAAGTTCACCGTGTCAGGGCAACTTCCACCGTGGCATGGTGGATTTCCAAAAAAAAAAAAAATAAACCCACCGCCTCACGGCAGCTTGTACCGTGACACGGTATAGTTTACCGTGTCACGGTGCCATTGAAATAAGTCCAGTCAGCATTTTTTAAGTCTTCCGTGTTAATTTGGTCCTCGTGTCAGTCATTTTTGTTATTGTTCACATGTCTAGCCATACGATCATACCACGAGTCTTAGAACATCACTTAGTCACTCACGAGTCAAGTATAGTCAACACACTTTCTTTATGTTCCGACTCGAGTCGTGCACCAGGTCGTTTATGATCGTATATTAGGTTCATGCACCCTTTTTTCTTCATAATAAAAAAATGAGTGGAGTTTTCTCACTTGTTTTCAAATGTTTATTTTTTCCTTCCCTTCCTATCTTGAGCAATGAGTCGAACAATTAAGTGAATTATTTTATTTCACAGTACTTGGTCAAGGAACATGCATAGATTAATACAGTTCGAGTCATTACCGCAACAATCTCTCAAATCTAATAGGCGTTCAAAGAGAACTTTACCATCTCCATTACTCATCACCTTTCAATGGCCACTAAAGAAGATATTGAGAACATCAACAAATCCATCGAGGCACTGTCTTCCATGATGCAAACCATTACCAATAGGGTCACTACAATGAAACAAAACAAGGTCACTGTTTCCACCCTTGACAAACTAAAGGAACAAATGAGTAAGATTTCTTAGGATTTCACTTATGTGGAACGGCCTCCCACTCCTTTGGATGTGAAGGACAGACTCCCTGAAAAGGTCTCCACTGCTGATATTCCAAAGTTCAAGCCTACAGACAATCCAATATTCCATTTGAAGGCGTTCTCTGCAACCATGGCTCTTAAGGAATTGGACGTAACAGTCTTCCCTACGGTGTTCCCTCTCTCCTTAGAACATGCTTGCCAACAATGGTTTTATTCCTTATATGCCAAGCATACTGCGACTTGGCAAGATGTCACCGACAGTTTCATGAATTGTTACAATTTTAACATTCAAACTAAAACTTCTGAATGTGAACTCTCCATCCTCAAACAGAAAGATAATGAGGGCTTCACCGCTTACTTGAACAGGTGGAGGGAAACAACTTCACTCTTAGTAGATACTCCCAAAGAAAGAGAGATGCCAACCATCCTTCTTCTACATCTTCTAAGCACAAAAATACTACCAACAATATAAGCCAAGTTGATCTTAATGAAGTGTTAGCTCTTGATGCTCCATTGCCCAAGAAGAAAAGAACTTGCACTCCTTTAGCAATGACTTATGATGCGGCCTTTGATCGCCTTTACGGTCAAGGCTTGATCACACCTATTGGGCCATTTCCAGAGCCAAAACCTGAAGAAAGGAGCGCCAAATGGAATCCCAATGCCTATTGCAAGTACCATCAAGATTTGGTGGATGCAAACAAACTTCCTGTCCCTCCAGGCGGCAAGAAGTAATGAACACAAGGCGCATAGCAGATCCTTCGTGCAAGATTATATGATTTCTTTTTTTATCATTCATCTCCATTCACCCATTCATGTTTAGCATAGGTTTTCCATTATTGAATTTTTATATGTTTCATGTGTTTCGTTCACCTTTTCCATTAATAAAATGAGCAAATTTCCCTTACATCTCGATCATAGAATTTTTCATTTATTCATTCATTCTCAAAAAATAAAAAAAAAATAATAATTCCATTACCGAACTAAACCCAAGGTACACTTGAGGCACCTTTGCAACCCTGTCATTCCCTGTTAACCGTTCAATCACATTCCATTTCTTCATCAACCATTTTGAGCCTCGTCTAACGTTTGGCCTTCATTTTTTCAACCCACATTTACTTAACCCTGGGATCGGAAGATGTGTAATTGTATAACATTCAGAAAGCAAGTAAAAAAAAAAGGATTGCAAAGCAACAATAAAACAATGTCTAAAGGCAAGTGTTCCAATGTCTTTGATATGAACACGTCTCAAATTGCGTCTCTCATCGAGTGCTCGGTACCATGCCTGAGAAACATGAATGTTAAGTGAGTGATGGATCGCATGATCTGAGATTGCCTACATTGATTCAAAAGAATAAAAAAAATTCAAAGCAAAAAAAAATTGTTGAAAATAAACTTGCAAAACTTCAAAATTTTCAAATTCACAATTACATATCT